CTTGTATATTTCATTAGACTTGTATATTTCATATTTTTGTCGTCACGTGACCGGCCCAGACCAGGGCTTCCTCGTATGGTTATGGCTAAAGGGGATGGACGAGAGGTAGGTGACCGTGAGAGGACTGGGTCTAGTTGAGTGTTTATTTCGTGTTCGTGGTACACGCGAGAACAACTCACTTTGTGAAAATGTGTGTAATTTTCAAAAATTCGAAATTCGAATCTTTATTGACACTCATCCTTACAACTGAATGTTTATATAAAGATCATGTATGATTTCTCTGCATGATACATTATGACAGTCAATGTTTTAATCGCAAAAGGTATGTACCTTGAGGTATAGAATGATCTGAAATCTCATATTTACTTTACTTAATAGTTTGATTCAGTCATGTACTGCATGCGCAAGTATTTAACAAATGTTTGGTGTTTAAATACTCGTGGGAATTCCTTTGGAAAATATAAGGGACCAGTCATTATTTGTGGAAGGGGGAGCGCAATTTTCTCTTTCCTAAATTTTTAAAATTGAAAGCCCCCCGCCTTAAAAGAGCAGAAATGTAATGGAGATCCCCCTGCATAATTAGAATATTTCTCTTTGAACCCCCCCCCCTTTTCATTTTTACTCGTCAAATGGGGATTCCCAGGCGTTATAATGTTAATTATTAAATAAGAATATGGAACTGATAAGATATTAAATAATTAATGTTGATCAAAAATATATATTGGCTGAAAATTATAATTAAAAGAGGAGTATTTTTATATATAATACTAAAATCAGGTTTCCATTTGGTCTGGGTGATTGTAACCATGTCAAGATAGCAGATGTATTATTATTATACATTGTCAATTTATCTCTTCAATCGGTGAAGACTGATTTGCATACAGCACACAAAAGAGAAGATAAATCCACCAGACTAGTTCACACCAGTAACCATGATTTAGTTGCAACATTTACCAACCAAATGGATACCAGCTTATTAAACAAATTCCTTCAAATTCAATTGCAACCACCCCCATTTTCTTGAAAAAAATTTAATAGTCCCCCCTTCTAGTAATTTATTTATACATATGGTCCCCCTTATTTTTTGCCTCCCCCTCCTTCCATAAATAATGATCGGTCCCTAAGCATCAAATATATAATGTTGCTTAACTAAAATTCTCTATCATACCATAAATAGGTTTATATATACAAGACCACATATAGCTCTTCATGAAAGTTGTGAAAGTCTCTACATTATCAGTACAGTATGTAACCCAGAGTTCCCCTCCAGGGACATAACTCATGACATGTGCATAAACTCATCTTGTCCTCATTTGCATCCAGATTCCTTAATTCCTCACGTATAACAAAACCAACAAGCTCCCCCCCTCTCTAATAAGATCCTAGCTCTCACTTAAAGATGGGCAAGTGGTGATCACATAATAGCATGAGATGAAGACACATTGACGTGGGTCATATATCACTTAGTAATTAGTACCACATCTAGAACATGCTATAGTCTATTTTTTTTTTTTTGGGGGGGGGGCAACATTTACCAGGGACATCATTAGAGGGGGGTGTGTGTGTGGGGGGGGGGGATAACACCCCAATCGCCATACATTTGGCAAATTACTGAGTCGCAGTCAGGAAATTGTTTTTGTAGAACTTGGCAAAAATTAAAATATATGAGTTACACTGATTAAAAGCTAAATATTTATAGCAACAATTTGGAAAATTTACGGAAAAAATAAAGGAAAGATTACCGAATGACAGTTACTTGGTTAATGAGAAAGGAAAAGAAAAAAATGGCTGTAAAATTTTTTTCGTAACCCCTCCTACCCCGGCTCGCCAACATTTTTGGAAAAGAAATATTAATTGTGTTTTAAATAAGATCAGTCGGCAAAATTGTGCTTACACCCCTTCATTAAAACAGGGCTAACAACGCCCAAAAAAAGACTCCAACAAAAGCAAAGACCCCCAATCTTATGGGCCATGGCCAAGGTGAACATTGTATGACCCCCTCCATTCCCCCCTGCTCCCCTTATTGTTTTTCACTGAGAGCTAGTGGCCCTTCCCTTAATGTTGTGTGGGGTATAGTGCCGAAATGTTTTGTACAAAATTCAGATTCTGCATAGATGTCAAGGTATATACAGTATATGCATTAAACCATTAAATTAATAAAAATTGCTTGTAACTCAGTAAATCTACTGTACTGAATAAATTATCTTTATATCAATATTCTGTGATTGGGCTACTTGTATGGGGCAGCATGACTGTCCAGCAGGGCCCAAGACCCACTCCATACTATGAAGTCTGGTTCATATTATGAATTAATTAAGTTCCCTTTGTCTTTGATAAAAATATGCTTTTTCAAAGTGTGTGCCAAAACTGATACAGTGAGCCATGTTATTAAATTAACCTTGTACAATTCCAGACAAGTCGACTCGAAAGAAGGAAGTCCATAAATCCTATAATACTATAGGAAGTAGATCTTACTTCCCCAGGGATAGTGCAAATGAATAATGCAGACATACATGCATGGTGCTTATTATTTTGCCAATTAGAAGGTTCTGCATTGGCCACCAATATATTTGAAGGCCCATCGGAGCATCTTGGTAAACTTAATATATCCTAGCTTGCCCAATCGCCTCTTCCACAGGCATATACTTGCCATGTCCTTCTGTAAAGGTGCTAGTGTAACTGTGTAATCTCCCAATGCTTATTAAGAGGGCCCCCTATACCTCTTCACAATATGCATTCACGTAAAAATATTTTGCCTTTTCACGAGTCACGGATTAAGAAAATCATCGATCACGTTTTACGGCTAAGTAAAATAAGCCGTTCACGCTTCACGCAAAAAGTATAGGGGGCCTGATCACATTTCACGGCTAAGTAAAACAAGCCCTTCACGCTTCACGCAAAAAGTATAGGGGGCCCTCTATTAAGTTCACAGGGCTCAAGAGCATTTTAAAAACCTAGCTATCTTTTGGTAAGCTTCCATTTATTTAACAATTAAGGTTGTAAATTCTTCCAGTGATGTGAATTAACTTTTTCTGGTTGTGAGGAAAAAACCTGGCTAGTATAAAATCTTCTAGTTTTTTCCAACAAAACAGTTGTTGAAACAAACTAAAAATTAGCATAATTTTAGCAAATTTCCAATAATTTGCCTATATTTATCATAAAGGTGTTAAGAGAGGATGTCCACAAAAATCAAACATAGGGCGGCCACGACGGAAAAATCGATTTTGCTCAAATTTTGCCCAGATATACCTTATTATATCGGAAAATGCACAATATATTTTTTTAGGTTAAATGCTTTTTTAACTTTGAGAAAATGCCGTTTTAACACGACCACCCTAAATCGCCATTTTGTCTGGGAAAATATGCGCTGATTTTACCGGCAAATTTCACGACGACAACCGTTTCTAATCGATCTAAAACTTTAAAAATCTTGTTTTCGGTTATTCAAAGGACCGGGTACGTGACTTACACGAAATCTGAGTTACTTTTAGGAATAGAAATAATCGTAGTTTTGGAGCACACTATCTTACCTCATTTACGATACCCTCTTAACAAAACCGATTTTCACCATGGGATAAAGCTCCAAATCGATCATGCTTCTACTAGTTGGCTCTTTAATAAACAAGCTTTCAATTGACTTAAATACTTATTTGGGCAAATGAATACGTGACAAACGACAGCGCGTGGAAATCGTCCGTTTTTGACGTCTTGCAAGTCAAACGCTGTCAATTTACATACTAGACCATGGGATTCACAACAAGTGAGTCTCACAAAGAGGGACCAAACAAAACCAAATTAAATCGTCCTATCAAGGCCTGTGTTACGCGAAACTGGCAGGTAACAAGTCCAAATACCCGGCTTTTTGATAAAAATAACCCAATGTGCGATTTCGCTTATTAGCTAAGACAAGTGAGCCAAGAAATGCTCATATCACGATCTTTGAATGATCATTTTTTTTTTACTAATTCCTCAAACAACTTCAATTATAGTTTAAAAGCACTAGAACAACTCGCGATTATGATAGAAGATATATTTTACACTCCATGAATGGTGAAAACAACATTTTGGCACAAAAACCCCTAAAATATCAATAATTCAATGCCTACTCGAATTTTTCTTTACTCAGTCCAAGTTTTATTAAATTTAGATCAATCAGATAGCTTGTGGTTTATGTATTTAAGATTGAATTTTTTTAATTAAGGTAACTAAGACACAATAAGCGGAAAATCGAGTGTAGAATTCACACTGTATATAGTATAAAATATCTTTATATTTTATCAACACACTTTGTTTATTATCCCATACCTGTGTTAAAAGCGGCTTTCTGATTGGTTTAGAGCAGGTGAGCTTGTCGTCGAGCTCACCTGCTTATTGCCGAACTCACCTGCTTTTCGCCCGAACTCACCCGCTAAATTGCTTACGTTGCAATAACAATAACAAATATGGCGGACAAGATTTAGCTGATAAACCTAAACTTTACTGTAAAGAACATTTTTCGGTGACTAACAAACTGAGACTGAAGAAAAACCAAAGAAAAAATGCAGTAAAGGTAATGTAGACGTAGATAAAGAAGTATTTACTTGCCCAGTGATTTTTCTGGCCTGGAAAATGTTCACAAAACATCGACGAATATATCGCGAAGAGCTACAAATGTGTGTTTGACTCGGTGTATGGGATAAAAACCAAACGTACTTGCAGGGAGGTGAGTCCGGGATTGGACGCACCTCGGGTGGCTGGAAGTTTCCCGAACTCACCTCGCTTCGCTCGGTAAGTTTGGGAAACTTCCAGCCACCCTCGGTGCGTCCAATCCCGGACTCACCTCCCTGCAAGTACGTTTGTTATACTATCTACAAATATTTTTCGTTCGATGGAGAGACCTAATATGGTTCTAACATGATGTTTATCATAAATTAGTTGTCTGACCAAGCCGCTGACCAGGTTATATTTTTTCCCTTACAAGGCCCCCCCCCCCCAGTGCGGTAACGTCTTGGTAAGCGTACCGTACGGCCAGAACGTGTCGTTAAAGATGGTGTTGGTAATACCGTTGGCAAGAGTGGTTCAATTGCATCGGGAGAAACAGGTGTCATGGGATGTGTGGTTGGCTTGAGCGGTGGGTCGTTCCTTTTCTCAAGGAATGCTGGCTTGAGCCTGTTGATAGAGACTGTATCACGGCACCCATTCGTGTTGAGCGTAAAGAACTTGTCAGTGCGTTGGATGACTAGGAATGGGCCGTCGTAGGGTCGTTGGAACGCACTTTTGACTGCATCGTGCCTAACGTAAACATGTGTAGCTTGTTGTAATGCACGCCGGTATATAAGATGGAGGCAAACCGTAGTTTTGTGGGGGAACAGGACGTTGCTGGTGCATTGTATTCCGAGAAGAGAAATGAGAGATGACCAGAGTTTGGATTCAAATTGTCGGCCACGATCCGACATTATGCTCCTGGGCAGGCCAAACCGTGATTTCCAACCATGTAACAGAGCACATGCACAGCTTTCCGCTGTCATGTCGACCATCGGAATAGCATCAATCCACCGAGAGTAGCGATAAATGCATGTGAACAGATAGGTAAACCCTCGAGACAGCGGAAGTGGGCCGACAATGTCAACCTAAATCTCAGCGAAACGATGATCTGGGATATCGAACTTCTGGAGCGGCGCTGTAGTATGACGATGAATTTTAGATTGCTGGCAAGCATTGCAAGTTCGAATCCACCCTCGAACATCACGATTGAGACCGTTCCACACAAA